TTGTCGAATGTAAACGAAGCTCCTACTATTGCATAGCTTGACAAGAACTTACGGGTCTCCATGGGAGGCATCGGTTCTGAACTGTGGGAGCCAGCAAATGCCCCTTCCAACCGTACAGCGCTAACTTTTCATGTAATTTTCAAGTGTAAACTGACCTTTTGGAAGTTTTCCTCTTGAACTGAATGCAGCACGATTGGAATTGAACCGTAGTTGTTTCCAGTATTGTGAAGAGAAATCCAAGTTGTAGTTTTACCTGTTACCTCTTGCAGATCAAGTTCGGATACCAAATGTTATTGTCATGGTTGGTCTACCGGCCCGTGGTAAAACGTACATATCGAAGAAGCTCTGTCGATATCTGAATTGGATCGGCATCAAAACCAGAGGTAAGTTTCAATCAATGAAATAAATTACAATAAAACCAGGTGAGTCTCTTTTTTCTGCACAGCTGCTGAAACACTGGGGAAATACAGTCAGTTTTTGTTACACGTTCGTTCGCTGCAATGTGGATGGACAATGTCCCAGTCTCATAACGAACTTTGTTCTCTGTAGTGACTTGGTGCTGACGCAGAGCGATTTTCACCTGTTGAGAAATGGATGACGTGTCAGTGACGTCAAAAACACGTTAGTAACACGCCCTGAGACGTCATCAGCCGTGATATACAAGCTTCTTCGCCACTAACATGCTGGAAACGTGATATCCTAACTCTCAACAGGTAGCGGGCCCGTAGTGCACCTGCTCCGTAATTTTTGTTTATTGGACGGCCTTTCGAATAGAGATATGGCCTGTTCATTTTGCTCACTCCATTGTTTTGAAAGGGCAAATTAATCGTCACGGTTTCATGAGGCTTTGAGATACGGCACGGTTCAGCTTGAGGAGGCTTTGCACTTCCTCTACTTCTCATCGTCGTGTTTATTGTTCTACAAGAGTTCACAGGTATTCTTCACTTGAGCTGACAAGTAGTGTCAACAAACTTCGACTGGTTTTATTTTATGGCTTCGCAAAATTCCACGGATATCTACTTGGCGGCTTGAAACGACAAGGGGAAGAAGCGAAAGTGCGGAATGCCCCCCTCCCTCCCATGCCGAACAGCGCCCGAAACACTGCTGTCCATCCTGTTGTTCAAGGCTTCGATGCGGAACTGAGCTTTTTTTGTCCTGTTGACCCATCAACTTTGACATTTTCGGAATGAGCGCCAGCGAATATGTCAGAATTGGAAAGTGTTGTGTTTTCCATGACTTTTCCATTTGCTTCCGGTATCAGATAATTGAGGTCTACTCCAGAGGAGGGGTTCATGTAAACGTTGACCGGAAATGGGAGTCTTTTGCAAAGCGCACAGCGTTTTCAGCATAAGCGCTACTAATTTTCCAAGAAGTTGTCTTGAATGGGGCTTTCTAAAGAGTTCCCCTCGCCCAGTTTGACTTGGAGGGGCATTGGAGGGCGTTTTCGCTAGTTCTCTTTGCTAGCTCACGTTATCTAACAATTCCCACTTTCGGCGAGACCTTGTAAACTCTTATGAAGCTGCGGAGTGATACAAGCGAGCCACATTAGTTACAGGAACTCACATGTCCTTACAAGGTGGCCTGTAAGGGCTACCTAAGAGAACCATCATATGCCACCACTAAACCGAGCTGCGGCATTTTGTTTCCAACATCCAACATGTTTCCTACTGTGTACTGTGCTACTGTCTTCTAATTTAGTGTTCAACGTGGGTGAATATCGTCGCACTGAAGCAAATGCTGCTGATGCCATACACGGAGCGAATGCTTCGTTCTTCTCCCCAAACAATGCCGCTGCTCTCAAAGTACGAACGTAAGTCATCAGGCTTTCTGTTGATTACGGTTTCACAGTTTTGATTTATGCATTTTCCCTTACTTTTATCGTGAGAAATCAGCTGTACGTACACCACTGCTTCGAAATATCCGCTTATGGACTTCCTGGTCCACTGCTGACTACTACTGCTGCCTTAGGAATCCAGATATTTTGTGAAATTAGCCAGGGTTTGTTGGAGTCAAAAAATGTTTTTCGCCTGAACCAAGGATTTTGATAAAAGGGGGGCCCTTTTATCAAAATCTCTTTATTTCTTCTACCTCCCATTCTAGAAGCTCACTCATTAGCGCATAGTGTGAACATTCGAAGGTGCGGGCGGTTTATTGTAACTTTTATCGTACTTCTAGAAGCTTTCCCGGCGCAGTCCGGCGACGGGAGGGGCATTTTGCATTTCCGCTACTTCCCAGGCGTGTTCATTGCTTCACAAGAGTTGACAGGTATTCTTTACGAGAGTTGACAAGTGGACCTCCAGAAGTATTGACTGTTATCACTTCGTGCCTTCACGGATTCCACAGATCTCTGCTTGATAGGTCGACACAACAATGGGAGGCGCATGTAAATCCCCACCCCCCCCCCCTCGGCAACTGCGCTGCTTTGCTGAGGGTTTTGTCAGTACTGACTTTTGAAAGAATAAAATTCTTGCTGTCTTTGCTGTACGTTATCGCACTTTCTCTTCGTGTACTTTGCACTCGTGCGAAAAAATTTCAGTGAGTCAGCTCGTCGGGCGATGAATGATATGGCGGATTGTTTGAAGTCAGGCGCCTGTAATGTCGCCATTTTTGACGCCACCAATACTACAAGGGAACGACGGAAAACAATCAATGATTTTTGCCGAAACAACGGTCTGTTTGCTTTTCACTTATAAAAGTTGTTGTTGATTCAATGCACGGCGTGTGTTGGGGATCCCTAGAGGGGATCGAATCGCTGGAGGGGGTTTTGTTGACTTTTTAGTTTTCCCCGTTTCTTGTGCGTTATATGCCCCAGCTCGATGGCAGTTTTGTGTAGGAATCTTCGGAAAACTCCGCAAAATTCTAGAAAGATGATTACTATGTGGGATGGGAAGATGCAATCGGTCGGGGGGGGGGGGGAGGGTCGTATTTGCAAAATTTTCCCCAACGGCAAGATGTGCCCTGTTGTTGATGTAATGGTTGTTCAGGTTACGTTGCTTCTTCATTGAGTCCGTATGTGACGATGAACGTATTATTGACAGTAACATAACAGACGTGAAGGTCAGCATTTTTTCATTACCGCTTTGGTATGGTACACTCGAAATCCCTGAGATGAGGTAGGCGTGGCTGCGTACTTCAACTAAACGTCGTGGTGGCTATGCTTTTGGAGAGATATTTTCATTTTGACCCAAATGTGGTCACGTCTCTGTCCAACAAAGAACAAGATGGCGGTTGTCTCAAATTGAAATATCCCGAGTAACCAGTTCTGTGCCATGTTCGAATGCCACGCCTACCCCGTCTCAGGGATAAGGAGTATAACTAGTGTGGCAATTATGTGCTGAGAATCGTTGATCCCAATAATGACCTCTATATTCTGCACATTGTGCATTGACTAATGCACGTTTTCAGATTAAATATTGGGTATAATGTTAACGTTGTTTATGGGCGCAGTTCGGCTTGGTAGGGCATTTTGCTGTTACGCGTCGAGCATTGCTGATGCCCCCTGTGGAAACCTGTGAAAACTTTGTAAAGTTGTATAAATGCGCATATGCTTTCACATTTAACAAGAGTGTACAGTCGAGATGGAACGCATTAGTTCAGATGAACTAGCAGAAGAAAGTAGCGAAAGTGCAAAAAGCCCCCTCCCCCTCGCACTGCTCTCTTAGTGTAGTGGAACAGCTAATTGTTTCTGTCAAGGATATGTTGATGGAGCATCACTGGTATTGTTTCATGAATTGAAGTGAGCTTGACTGCTATTTCCCCACCTCTCCCCACTCCCTTTTCTCCCCCACTCTCCAGCTCACTGTGTTAAAAGTTCTTTCAATGTGGGAGCATTTCGCACTTTTTTCTAGTTCCTATTTAATTACACATCTCACTTTGATTGCTGAGTATTGCAGTTTCCTGTCAAGTGTAAACTCCACAAGAGCAACCGGCAGTGACCCATAAGTACCACAAAAATACCCCCACCAAGCCAAACTGCGTCGCTGTACCGTTTTTTTTTTTGCTTAATGGGCTATTAGGCTAATTCTTCGAGGCGTGAAAGTGAATGTTCAGGTGAACTCGCCCGACTACAAAGGATTGATGTCTGCTGAACAAGCGAAAGAGGATTTCTTGAAGCGAATTGAAAACTATAAGCAACAGTATCAACCAATAGATGAGGTGGAGGATGAAGCGCTCAGTTTCATAAAGGTTAGTGCTCAACACCTGCTTCTCGCCTTTAGGGTAATATTAAGATGATGTGGTGTGAAGTGGTGTGCTGTCACACGAATCGGCGCATTCCTGTCCAAACTACGTTAGGACCCTATCTTTGGTGAAGGACCCTCCGTAAACAGAGCACGTCCTGCCGTTGGGGAAAATTCTTGCAAAATACGACCCCCTGCAAGACTACCTCCTCTGGTACGACCCTCCTTTCCTATCCCTAGTTACCATCGTCCTATGTTTTCTCAGCTTTCTACCACTTTTCCGGAGGTGAGGGGTGGGATATAGACAATGTACTTGAAACAAGAATTACCGAGAAATTGAACATTCAAAAAACATTCCTCTCAGGAGGCAAATTATGATCCCCTCCAGCGGCCAAGATACGCCCCCCCCCCTTCTCGCTTAGGATATCAACGTGCCGCGTGCCTTATTTCAAAAACAGCTTATAGGTCCATATTGAATCGTGTGTTAGTGAGAGGGACATTTTGTTGCTGAGACATAAGGTGTTCGAAGCCTCAAATTTCCTACAGAGGAATTGGTTTAGTTTGGAGGTGCCTCAACCGAAATTTCCGTCCCCTGGCTCACAATCGTTTCTTTGCACATTTCCGCTATAAGTGTACGGCCGCGCTTTGAATAGGGCCTTGAAACAGTTAGCAAATAGTCAACCGGGAGGAAAATTGAATCATACCTGTCTGAGCTGGACCGAAAATTATGTACAGTATTGTTTTTTGCGGATGACTGTCATGGGGCTGGATTTAGCTCGGCGCCAGCCCATATTCCACTGTGGTGCATTTCCAGCTTCTACAATAGGTGGAGAACGCGGTGGTGCCGCGCTGGACCCAGCCCCCTTCCTCCCCCTCCCCTGCGAACAAGACTCTAGTTGAAATGCAGCAAGTTTCATTTGACAGCCGTAATTATAATCTCTGCCCAGCAATGGCTTCAGATTGGTTTCGTGGAGACCTTGTGGCTTTGAGAATCTCGAGATGATCCGTGCTTAACCCGAGAGACTTTTTAGGTTATCAATGCCGGTCGTTCCTTTTTTGTACATAATGTCCAAGGCCATGTTCAAAGTCGTGTTGTTTACTTTTTGATGAATATTCATCTCCTGCCACGAAGTATTTTCCTCACCAGGGTAAGTTACTTATGGTGGATATCACTAGCTTCTTTCTGATTCTTTTATTGTTTACAGCATGGTCAAAGCGAATATAACGCGATGGGACGCCTTGGCGGTGATTCCCCGTTAACTGCCTGAGGGTGAGAAGTATGCCGAAGCTTTGAGTCGGTTCTTTGAAAAGGCAGAAATATCCGATCTCCGAATCTGGTGTTCTCAAAAGGTACTGCTTGTTTTCCGAGCAAAATGCTGATTTCCGAGCAAAAATCACATTCCTCCATTTATAATTTGCATTTGGTGAAGTATTTTCAGTAAGTATATTTGCTTGCGAATTTTAGGTCCGTGCTGCACAAACAGCTCAAAAATTGAAGTCTGCATATCACACTGAATATTGGAAAGCATTGGATGAAATTGATGCTGGTATATGCGAGGGACTCACCTACGACGACATACAGATGAGGTCTGATTCGTCCCATGATATGATCTTCAAAACTTTTTTGGGTGCAGTTTGGCTTGGAGGGGGTATTTCGCTCGTACCCATCGACCAGTGCAGATGCCTCTTGGCGACCTGTAAATTACTGTTAAGGAGCCTTCTTGACATTTGATAAGAGTCTGCAGTTCTCACCCCGGTGCCCAGGTGAGATGTGTGCAAGAACTAGCTAAAGTGCAAGGATGCCTCTAACGCTCCCCCCCCTAAGCCGAACAGTGCTCTTTTTGAGCGGTGGGGAAAACAAAGAGATATCTTTTAGTGCGTCAGTTTAAGTTTTACCCCTAATTGAGCTCCGTTGAGGAAACTGCCAGTCAGAACCCCTTGAAATCCTTAACAATGATATGATCCTTTTTTAAAGGTGCGTAGATTGTTGTTCTCTCTTCCCCCTCCCCCTTATTCGCCCTCCGCCTTCTCCAGACACGAGTAAATCCATCCTTTTTCCCCACTGAACTTTTTCTAGCACGGCTTTTGGCATATTCTGTGATTTTCGTCTCTGGGCTCTGATTAGTCTCATCTAGGTTCCAATTAACTTCGTTTCCATATCTTTTGTTTTCTAGGTTGAAAGAAAGTCCTGCCAGTGTTTTTTAGATAGCCTACAGTTTTTGACATCTCGAAGCTCGAACATGGTAAGGCTGCGTTTATACTTTGCGGCAGCGTAGCGTAGCGCTTCCAGCGTACGCCAGCGGCAGTGCCGAAGAGAGGATGCATATCGATCTAGCTTCACCAGCGGCACGCTGGCGTAGCGAGGGCACGGGAAGCATAGCTATCGATCTAGCTTCACCAGCGTTTCTCGAGCGTTTCTCCAGCGGCACCAGCGTTTTGCTAGCGCTTGCAGCGGCAGGGAGTAGAGACTATGTGGCCGTGAGAGACGCGGAATCGACGTGTATTGTAGAGACCATGTGGCCGTCGGAGACGCAGAAGCGATGTGCATTGTAGAGACTATGTGGCCGTCGGAGACGCAGAAGCGATGTGCATTGTAGAGACTAAGGGCGAGTGAGAGACGCGCAATCGATGTGTTTTGTACCCTCCAGCTCTCCCATAGTCTCTACTCCCCTGCCGCTGCAAACGCTAGCAAAACGCTGGTGAAACGCTGGAGAAACGCTGGCGTACGCTAGCGTGCCGCTAGCGTACGCCAGCGTGCCGCTGGTGACGCTGGTGAAGCTAGATCGATATGGCATCCTCTCTTCGCCACTGCCGCTGGCGTACGCTGGAAGCGCTACGCTACGCTGCCGCAAAGTATAAACGCAGCCTAACACGGACTAAGGTTGTGAACATTCTCGAAGGCTTTTCCATCAAGAGGTTATCAAAGGCTTACTGCTGCTTTCCATGTGTGTATCTACCTTATGATGTCAGTTTCACTGGAGCAGCTTCGAGTGATCATCTTCTATGAGTGGCGCCGCGGCACTGGAGCGACGGCAGCGGCCCGTAACATCAACTGTGCATTGGGGGAGGACACCACCACCGTCAGGACTGTCCACCGTTGGTTCGCTCGCTTCGCGAAAGGAGAGACGATCTTCGAAGACAAACCTCGTCTGGGACGCCCTCGCGGCGTAGAAGATTCCGCCGTTCTCGAACCTGTCAGAGAGGATCCAGAGGCTACCACGCGCAGTATTGCGACAAGGCTAGGATGTAGCCATACAACAGCTCTAAGCCGCCTTCAGGCCCTTGGCTACAGAAAAGTCCTCACGCGATGGATACCTCATGCTAGATGGCACGCGGTATGCCAGGGTGGGCATCTGTCGATCCCTCCTTCTACACCGTAACCGGAAGGAGTTTCTGGAAGATATTGTGACTGGAGATGAAAGCTGGGTCCTCTATGATTCCAACCTACGTCGTGCCATGTGGCTCCCTCGAGGAGAAGACCCGCCTACGCAACCCAGATCGAACCTGCACTCCAAGAAGGTCCTCCTCTGCTGCTTCTGGGATTCGAAGGGCCTGCTGCACCACGAGCTGCTTCCGCTAGGGCATACGGTTACCGCTACCGTTTACGCCGCCCAACTCCAGAAACCGCGCAAGCTCTTTGAGAAAAGCGGCCGAGACGAGCTTCGGTGCACCTCCTCCATGATAACGCCAGACCACATGTGGCTAAAGAGACCCACCGCCAAATTGAGGAGCTAGGCTGGGAGACCGTTCCCCATCCACCATATTCTCCAGACCTAGCCCCCTCCGACTACTACTTGTTCCGCTCCCTCAAGGCTTTCCTAGGTAAGAAAACCTTCAGCGAATTTGATGGCATCAATCGAGAAGTTGCCTACTTCTTCGACTCGCAGCCTCCTCAGTTCTGGGAGAAGGGGATAGCTGAGTTGCCATTAGGTGGAGCACTGTAGTGGCTAACAATGGCGATTATATTATTGATTAGTTTTTATTTCATGTTGAGTTAGAAAATAAAAAAGAAAAAAATCACAACAGTGACAGGACTTTCTTTCCAACCTATATTTTGCCATCTGTCAGTGTAGAGCACCGACTTGGGGCATCCAAGATGCGATATCGCGCTTAAGCCAGCTTTTCTAGCTGGTTGACCTATCACAGCTCTTTGGCGTCAAATCAAATGTGTTTGGTAGTTTACATTGAGAAAAGGCCGTCAAGTAATCCGTATAGGACGTAGGCTGCCAAGAAACAGCTAATTTGACACTGAAATGTCCAGTCATCTAGCTACGAACGGGTTTTATTTGGAGTATGTTGGAATCACGGCCAAGATGTAACGTACGGTTTAATCGCCTCCGTCGGAGAGTAAGCTGCAGGACACGTCTTCTTAATCGGTCACAAGGCAGGGAGAGTCGTATTTGTATTTACTCTGTACCCCCTTGTCACCCCACTAAGTTGATCATGTGTCCTACCTACCCCTCCCCCCTCACCTCCCCCTCTCCTAACAGGATTTTGCAAGTGACTGAATTTGTGCCATGGTGCGCCCTGTCAGCGCTCTTATACCCATCAGTAAAGGACTATCAGTCATCGTTACCCATGCTGTATTCAGGTACCCTAAGCAAGCGGAGGACCGTGCTAGAGACAAATACCACTACCGCTATCCGTCTGGAGAGTCCTACGAAGATGTGGTATCACGGCTAGAACCAGTTATCATGGAACTCGAGCGCCAGGTTAGTGAGACTGATTTATTCATGTGACAGCGTTTGTTTTGAAGGTGTTCCTCGCTTCCGATGGAGCTGTAAATAACAAAAATAGCAGCTATGCACTCACGGATACGTTTCTGAGCTGCCATTTCTGCCGGCTTTTCGAAATCTCCGTGCCTGTAGGGCAGGCTGATGTGCAAAAGCCAGCGCAAAATGAGACATTCCGCGAGTGCCAGAATTTTACGGATTTTGTGATGGATGAAATTCTGGGAACCGCCTCTTTTAGGCTGATGTGCTGGTGGTTTCTCATCAGGCCGTTCTTCGCTGCATTCTGGCATACTTTTATGACAGATCACTGGATGAATTGCCTTATATCGATCTGGGGCTGCACTCACTCGTAAAACTCACGCCAAGGGCTTATCACTGCGATTCAACGCTCTACCACTATGATATCACAAAAGACGAGGTAGGTTTGATTCTTACTTTCTCGTCCTGTTTCCAAGTGAACACTTTTGTTATCAGAGTGTCGGATGCGAGATCCGCGCCACAACGCCGCTTACAGACTAGTTGGTATTCCTTGACTGTTTCACTAGGCAGAGCAGATAGTTGATTAGGACCACGAGGCAAGTCTCAGTTGCGCCCACTCTGCTCAACTGCGTTCTCTAATGCCAAATCTGTACGAGGCAAGGCACGTCCTGTCCTTAGGGAAAATTCTTCCAGTAACCGACTGCTTCAAGAATTTCCGCTCTAGTATATATTTCATTTTCCGGAGGATTTACCTAGAAATTCCTTCACTTTTTCTTGAAACCCGCTGCCGAGGGGGAGCAGGTTATAGAGCTCTAGAAACAGGAAAAGCCTTGAAATGTCAACAACCGAGAACATTCTTCTGAACGGCAAATACGCCGTCTCTCTCCCTTCTCTCCCTCTAACGTCTAAATAACACGCTTCCCCTCGATAGGGATCCCAACATGTACGACATAACCTGTCTAGAGGGACCGGGTTACTGGCAAATACCACTTTAATGGGAGGGTGCAGGCGCGCGGATGTGTCCTTTAGTCGCTCGGCCTCATAAACCTCCTCCGGCTCGATATACTATAGCATTTCCACATCAGAACAGCGAGATCCTGGTGCAAATGCCGCGCACGTGACCCATTTGCAACACCGCTTTCGCAGTTTGTAAGGTGGACCTTCCAACTGACACCCCGTGTTATGAGTGTACGTAGAGGTTGAAATCAAAGGACCAATGTGATAACGATTTCAGTCTTTGCCCGCTGCTTAAGCAAATACTGTCGGTGCAGGGACTTAAGGTTCACACACGTGATTTGAGGGTTAACGCTCCCTTTCGTGGTGTTCATGATCCTTTACATCTCGCTTCCTTTTCTTCCTTGGATTGGAGAGATAAAGACAATCAACAAAGAATTCATTCACAGCAACTCAAATTTGTGTTTAGTGGACCTGTGAGGAGCGCCAACTACCGCTGTGCAGCAGTCCTCGAGATTGAGGAATTCAACCAGTCGAAAGAATGACAGAAACTATCTTTGTCTGCATTTAATGTTGAGGTATTTGTGGCCCTGTGTTACCTTTAAGCTATAGTCTTCTAGGGCTAGGAGTGAGACCTTTTCTACTTGTCTTTTATTACGAATGGGATCAAATAGGTACTCATTTTATACATATTAGTGCAATTTTTTCCAGGTTAGCAATGTGTAAGGCGCGCTACTGATTAGACCGGCTAGGTGAAGAATGATAAGAGTTTCACACGTTGATAAGTGGTGTGTCAGAAACTGCTGAATCGTCGAGTTCTTCCTATGGAAGAGATCGGCCACGGAACCAGTGACTTCGTATAGGGTCAGAAATACGTTATGCAACAAGGATCCGTGTAGTTACTAACCCACCTACTAGTTTAGAAGACTTATATTGAATAAATGTCTACGCTTTCGAAGACACTCTTTACGCTTACCCGTGAATTTTGTCTGTTCCATGGGCAAGGTGGGTCTACAGGTACCACTTCCGCCACTCAGGAGTGCAATGAAGCTGGAGGGTTATGATGGCTGGACTTCCTTATGTCTACGTGTGCAAGTAAAACACGCCGCACGCCAGCCATCCATACATGTAACTATAACTAGGCGCGCCTCCCTCTCCGCCCCTTCCACACTAGCTCGACGCGCCCATTCTGTTCTCCTACCAACTGTTTGATTGCGCATTTCTCGCAGCGCTGTCAACACTGTTCGCCTGTGGACCCCCTGGCTTCCGAGCTAAAGACACTTTCGCAAGCCCTGCCCCAACACGACGTCGACGTATCGCGTAATCGTGTTATCGGTTGGGGGGGAGTTTAAAGAAAAAAACGTGCATCATCGGCAACTTCAGCTCTCAACTCGCCCATCGATTTTCCCAGCTGACTGCAAGGTGTATCGACTTCGATAGTAACCGTCGAACGCTGCTACCCGCACCCGAACAAGATCCGAATTCCTGCGCGGCAGGCGTTCACCGACGGAAAGTCTCGGAGCCGGTCCCAGCTATCAGTGGACGTAGTGTTTCTCGAGCAATCAGTATAAGAATCCGACCATTGTTGCCCAATTCTGCATATTATTTGGTTTTGAGATGTACTTGTTTACATTTCTTACACTTCTATCGAAGCATTGGCCACTCCTTGGACTTTGTGTAAACAGTTAAGGTTCTTTGGCAGTTGCGTACATCTTATATGATGAAAACGTGATGTTTACGCTTCTCGATAAGTCTTGGCATTGTTCCGTTACAAATTTCTACAACCAGCTAGCAGAATGAAACCGTTTTAATGTTATTTTGATAAACTTAGCGGCCGAACAGCGCCAAAGTGCTCAGGGAAGTTACTTGTTTGACCATAGTCGCTTAGTAAGTGGCTGGGTCTGCTCGCTGACCAGTAAATTCATCACCATGTGATGTATACCATTTACCCAGTAGCTGTAATTGGTATGACTCGGCAGAGGTAGCTGGAGGGGCAGGGGACAGCAGCGTGCAGACACGTTGCGCCCCGCGTTAACTGCTCCAGCACCCACGCTTCGGCGATTCCTGGCGAAGGCAGGCTCTCATTTGCCTCTATATTTTTCGTTGGTTAGCGTCAAAACTGGCCAGAAAGCGGCCTTGCGGGGGCGGGGGGGAGCGGAAGGCAGCCTAGACCCTTAACTCCAGCCAATGGTACCTTGCGGAGCCTTGCCATCCTGGTGGGCGCCCCATGGTGCCGTGGAACACGAATTAGAAGCAACAAACACACATTTTCTCGACTGGCAACCGCTCCAAGATCGCAGTCGCCGAATAAGCCCCCCCTCGGGTTTTACACAACGGATGGTGAGTCCTGTCCCCCAGCTATCTTTGCCCTTGGCCATCGTAAATGGTATTATTCGCTTGTTTATTCAGTTCACTTCCCTCCCCAACTTTTTGCTAAAAGCTGTGAAATAAGCTTTAATGATGTCTGATGGTGTACTATAATTGTGTAGGTCTTCTTAGGTGTATAGGTTCCAAGTCCTTGAATTTATGGTTCGTTGTGTGTCTTATTTTGAAATTATCACGTTGTATATGTCCGTACCAGCCAGTTAAGTCGTGTCTATGTCTACCAGTTCAGAATTGATGAAAAGACTATGTGTATTTACATTGCCAGTGAAGAGTTGTCTCTGGGAATTGTGTGTTTTATTTTGTGACAGATGGATCCTATTATGATAAAAACTTAGATAAAGATGACAGCAGGTTGTAGTTGTTGAGTTTGTTCACAATCATACAGCCGTCCGTTTCCAGTCCGGCCAAAGGCTTGATAATAATCGTTCGATGAACTGCCTCCTGCCTTCTCCCACACAATACCCGTCCCATCGACAACAGCCTGATTCGCTTTTTCTTTTCATTCTTCCTGGTGCAGGTCAACAAGTATTTATTTTCAAATACTTGGGTCTGGGTCTTACGCCCTGGGTTCGTGTTTAGATCAAAGAGGTAGCTATCTTGGCCCGCCCGGGAATAACGTTGGTTAGTTGCGTTGCCCAGACTGACCGCGCACCTGCCATCTTCCGAATCTACTTCTCAAACCACCCACTATCTTGAATCGTATTTGTTTTCTATGAGTAGTTTGCTTCTTGCTAGCAAATTCACTCGAGGACGCAAATCAAATAGCAATGGCCAACTGGCTGTTTCCTCCTTTAGTTGCCTGGTAATTTAGAAAGCTTCATGGTT